AAACGCCCATTTGAATCACTGTTGAGCTGCACTTTCCTTTTCAAGTGAGTAGCTTTCAAGGTTAGTAAAGTCAAAACGTCGCCGGTGGGAAATCAAAATGAACCCTAAAAAGTGACTTCACTGCACTTTGTGCTCAAGAACCAGAGTCCAAACTCATGTCAGTGCTAAAAGGCTTCCACTTTAACAGCATTTCCAAAAACAGCAATGGTTCTCCCACTCCTCCCTCGACACCGCTGTCTATCCACGGCTCTTGAGTTCTACTCAAGCTATTTTTTATTTTGGCGAGGATCGACTTGACTTCAGAACAAGTATGGAGGGAAGACTTTCTTATGCAACGCGAGACAGAGGTTGACCTTCTGGAGTAAATAGACGACGGGCTGTGTCACATAGTTGGCACACACACAACTATTCCATCAGCTCCACCATACATGGTGACGCTATTAAACTGCGCGGGGATAAAAAGCAGACGCCCTCTCCACATCCAGCCCCTCCTCACACCCTGTCAGCCCCGTCCAGCGCTCCGTTTCATCACAGTTTTATCCTCCCATCTCTGTGTGGCGCTCACGTATTTACATTCACTTCTGCTGCCCGGCATGTGTGTGTATTTATATATATATTTGTGTGCGTTTAAGAGATAGGAAGCAGACAGACAGGGCTCTGTTGTGTGTCATGGACAGTGAGGTAGTAACAACGTGTGTGTGTGTGTGTGTGTGTGTGTGTGTGTGTGTGTGTGTGTGTGTGTGTGTGTGTGTGTGTGTGTGTGTGTGTGTGTGTGTGTGTGTGAAAAAGGGCCAACGAATTATCTCTAAGGATTTCTTGATATAATAAAAGCTATCTGGAAAGGCTTTTATCTACTGAAGCAGTTTTTAAATCTACCACCAAGTAAAGAGGAGTGAGGGTTAGTCAGCCGCCAACAAAGGAATTAAATGTCAATAAAATGTGGTTTTACTGCGACTAAAATAAAGTAACAGTCATAAATTAAAACCAATATATATATATATATATATATATATATATATATGTGTGTGTGTGTGTGTGTGTGTGTGTGTGTGTGTGTGTGTGTGTGTGTGTGTGTGTGTGTGTGTGTGTGTTGTGGTTGGTCTACAACTATAATAACATTAAAAAATATAGTAAAATATAGCAGTTTACATTGAATATGATTGAAATCCTAGAAATAGAATTGGAATAAAAGATCTCAGTGTAAGGCAGTCTTGGAACGTAATGAAGTACAATAACTCAAGTACAATTTTGAGGTACTTGTACTTTACCTAGGTAGTTTTTACGTTATGCTACGTTATACTTCTCCAGCATTATCTGAAGGTTAAAATATTCAGCAGCAGTATCCGTTCTGAAGCTAAGGCAGTTTTTAAGTTTCTTTATTGCAGCACGAATTTGCACATTTCTTCGTTCTATATCTAAATGTATTGATAGTGAAAAGTCACAGGGAAGCTGCTGACATGTTGAGCTACACACTCGCAGGAAAATTGGTAAGAAAATAGACTGCGTCCACTTATCCAGGACCATTGAGTGCGACAGCTTTTCGATCAAGTTGACCCATTTTTTTCTAGCCCCCCGATGTGTAAATAAGGTTGTGGAGACCTAACTGTGTCTTAAAGAGAATTTGACAAGATTAAATATCCCCCCCGATGGGTAAATGATGGAGAGAGGAAAGTGGGGAACATGCATTAACACATGAAGTGAATACAACTTCAGGCAGGACCGATTTGTAAAGGCTAATCAATGTCTCTGCTTGATCTAATTACCCATGATGTGGTTATTTATCATGAAATATGTTGAATATGCATGAGTTTTGTAGGTATAGTGTGTGTTTGAATGTGTTAAAATCATCTCTAGGGTCCTTATAGTCTACTTCAGAGCAGCTAGAGAGGCTGAATTGTGGATTAAGATTTGTTGTTTGCTAATATGTCAAGAAAACTAAAAGCTACCCAATCTCAACACAGTTATGTTTATCTGTTTTAGTAAAATTGTGTGTCCATGAGGCCTCATTCACATGATGCATTTGTGCTACAAGAACATTTCCTGTGCACTTTTAATAAGGGTAAAACTTAAAAATGTTAGCAATATAATAATTATTTACATATCATTTATCATCGTACAGAATATCTGCTCGTTATTGGGCTTAAAGAGCAGATCTAATAGTTCTCCGTGGCTCATTAAGATTTTAAAATGTGCTCCCAGAGGAATGAGAACTGTATAATATGCTTTTTAACTTTTGGGTTTGCACACTGGATGAAACGTTGGAGCCTGTTTCGCCTCAAATTAACATTCCCATTCAACTGCAGGTGTGCAGGTGCATGATGGGATGTCATATCCCTCGTTATATGACACTCCTAAACCTCTTGATCTGAGCCTCTTGTCAATCAAAGTAGTCGTTATAGGGGTTGCTCATTAGGCTTCACACACTCTCTCACACACACACACACACACACACACACACACACACACACACAAAAAGAGTTTGAAGCCTCTCCAGGTTTTTTACGGGGTTACTTTCGGTTACTGACCCAGTGCCTATAAACGTATCCAGATGCCATCCTCAGAAACACTTTGAATGCTTTCTTCTCTCTGTTGCAGCCTCACTGTTCCTCCCTCTTCTCTATCTGCACTCCTACCCTTTGTCTCCTTCAATTTCTTATGTCATTCCTGCTTTTTATAACCTCCCTGTCTCACCTTCTTGTCTTACTCTTCTTAAGTCTTCCCTCATCTCTCTCTCTCTCTCTCTCTCTGGAGTGATGTGTATTCCTTTAAGGTCACAAAGATCCCTAAAGTCTCCAGACAGGCTGCTGAGAACTTTACTGAGACGCTTCATTGATTGCATCGACATCCAATAGACAGCAGGATCACTAAGCCTCTGAAAATCTGTGCATCTGGAGGAGAGGCTGGGTTTCTGTTTCCATACATCCACCAGACAAGGCTTTCTGCAGGAGTTTTGCACATCGTACCCGTGCAACTACCACTAAAGAACTAGGTTGACTTATCTTAGATCTACTATTGTTATTCAATCTCATTCCTAAATTAACTACATCAGGAGTGTATACAGAGGTTGTCTAGAAAATGACATTTGGTCAGTGCCTATAGCGACAGCAGGAAACAAATAAAGTCGCTGACAGGCTGAGGCCGGGCCGGTTTTCTATTGTATGACACGCTAAACAATGTACTTGCTGAGATCAAAACATGTAAGTGAATAATAATGTAGTTTAATAAAAAATGAGTTGATCAACTTATTTTACGTAGACATAGACATTGTTATAATAATCAAAGCAATCCTAAAGCTTGCAGTCAACAAAAAATACAACGACCCTGTGTCACCCTCTCTTACACACACACACCTGCCCGCAACGCACGCACACACGCACGCCCGCCCGCCTTTGTACGTTTCATGGCTCCTACAGTGCCTTTTGCATTACCGCCATGTATTTATTAATGTTCTCTTCTACACACGGGTATTTTGGTGCAGCTATGTGGATACTTTTCTTAAGACTAAGCAGGTTGAATTCACACCGACTGATCAAAATGCTCTTCAGATGTGGTTTAGTCGATCAAATATCCTTCTGATTGCGATGTGTTCTGCATGCATTAACACCTTGCTTCAACAGTCCTTTCTTCCTAATCTAGATAAACCCTTCCTGATTCACAGTGTGTGTTAGCATCAGGTGTAAATTGGGTCAAAGAGAAACACAGGTAGATTTCGAATGAGCTAACAAGTGCAAATCTGTGTCAGATGTTACAGAGCCTTCCTCACCCGTTAAATCACCCCTTGTTCCTCTTTCTCTCTCTCCCGCTCATATCCGTTTCTCTCTCACATGGCTGCAATTACGCTCGTGTAAACAAACGAGGCCAGAGAGAGACATCGGGAATTCCAGTTGGGCATTTGGGAGCTGCTTAGCTTACACAATCACAGGGAATCACGACGCAAGCACAGAGGATCCATAATACCCTCCTACAGTCATTCATTCATCTCACAGCACTTTATGAATGACTGTACCTCAATGGAGCGCCATGCAACAGCTGCAGTCAACTCCCCAGATACACACTTTGTTAATGAGACACACGCTTTGTGTCAACTCACACACTTCCCCAAGTACTCTGCCATGTTGTGCACTGGGAACTCTTTAAATTGACTGTGTCTCAAATCGCTCACTGATGCTGTGCTATTACCATAAGTGACATTAGCCGCTGTAAGCTAGCTACCTAACAAGCTAGCTCTTTCTTAATACCGACTTTGTCAAATAACTTATTTGTCAAATGTCAATTGACAGTGCAGTTTACACAATTGTAAAGAGAGCTGTCTGGTTCCAGAGTCTCATATAGTGTGTAAGTCCAAGGGTTAAAAACATATTAAACATTCTTCTAGCTAGCTAGCAACGATATTTCGGAGGGAAATCCTTACAGACTAGTCAAGTCACCCAATACAATTAACGTAGGCTTCTTAAGACACTAGTATGGAGGTAAGTAACTTAAATAATGTACAAAAACAACATGTATGACCTGTAAAGTGCTGTCTAAACCTATGTAAAAGCAATTGCTAACATTAGCTGTGCTATTACAGGAAAGTGACGATCGCAGCTAATTAGTTAGCTAGCTAGCAACGATTGTTTGTAGTACCAAATCAACACTAGTATACTGGTACGTTAGTTGAATAGTAAAACAAATATATAACTTTGGTTTGTGTAGTGCTGGGTTTAACGAAGAAACTACAATCCAGGGTTTAACACTTCAATACTTTCTCAGATCAGGTCTGAAGGGTTTCTTGCATCACAGCAGCTCCATTTGCAACAGCAACAAGGACAAATATTTAGTAAATAAACAAGGAAACACACATTTAAAATATGATAACAGTCACTGAAGACAATATGTTCAAATCCCTATGTCCGTTACTAGTGCACCATCCGTATACACATTGTACCTTTTTGCCTTACGCACATATGCACTCAAAACAAGCAAATGTACAAAAATGCCATTTAAGACAACTCACTAACCTGCTCGTGGTACTCGATCCCCATGCTCAGAGTGTTGATCAGGATGGCGATCATAATCCCTCGGCCGAAGTACTTGCTGTCCACGATCTTCCTGAACGTGTCGCACACCAACCTCCAGAAACGCACCACCTTCCCGGCCGTTCTACACAGCCCGTGCTGCTTCTTTTTGGGCCGCCGGCTGTCCCTTCGGTCCCTGTGGTGGAGGTCCTGGGTGAACTCGTATATTCCCTCACTGTCCGAGTCTCCGTTGCCGCCCTCGGACTCGTTGGCCAGAGCTTTGGCGCAGTAAGGGCAGCTCTCAGGGTCAAAAGTCAGAGCCACTGTGTCCACAGCGCTGAGGTCACAAACCGACAGCTGGCCGGAGAGCTGGGCTGCAGCCGAGGGAGAAAAGAAAGGTCAGACGGAGACAAACAGAAGGGAGATACATACTTTGTGGCACTGTAAACTCTTGAAATTGACTGTGTAGTGTTGTCTCAAATCGCACAAGGATGCTGTGCTATTCAAAGTGACGATTGCTGCTTTAATTAGCTAGCTAGCTCATCCTTAATTTGTATTAAAAAAGGTTTGTCAATCACGTTTGTCAATCACAAACTTAATCCGGCCAAATTATGTTTCTTAGAAAATGCAATTGACAGCGCAGTTAACTTTATAAGAAACACAAAAAGGTCAGACGGAGAGAAACAGAAGGGGAATTGCAGCAAAATCCCATTAAAATGTTTGGACAAATTGTCAAATCCAATGGAATTTGACAAGATGAAATATCCCCCCCGATGGGTAAATGATGGAGAGAGGAAAGTGGGGAACATGCATTAACACATGAAGTGAATAAAACATCAGCCAGGACCGATTGTTAAAGACTAATCAATGTCTCTCCCGTGATGTGGTTATTTATCTTGAATATGTTGAATATGCATGAGTGTGTCAGACAGAAGAGGATATGTGTAGGTATGTGTTTGAATGTGTTAACATCCTCTCTCGGGTCCTTATAGTCTACTTCAGAGCAGCAAAAGAGGCTGAATTGTGGATTACGATCTGTTGTTTTCTAATATATCAAGAAAACTAAATGCTACCCAACCTCAACACAGTTATGTTTATCTGTTTTAGTAAAATTGTGTGTCCATGAGGCCTCATTAACCTGATGCATTTGTGCTACAAGAACGTTTCCTGTGCATATTTAATTAGGGTAAAACTTTAAAATGCTTTCAAATGTTATTGTTATTCGGAATAAATCTGTGGTGAACATTTCAGGATAGTTGCTTGTGTGTGTGAGTCTTTGATGGGCAGTGTGTGCTATGAGTAATGTTTCTACAGGACGGTCGCCAGCATTTCCATCGTCTGCACAACCTGAAGAGACCTGGCCTGACTTCAGCTGATCCCACTGCCTTTTAGAAGTTGGCCGGCGCAGTAAACTGGCTGCAAGCTTTGACATGAGGGATTAACATTTATCGAGCGTAATTAGCACTCTTCCTGTCTCTCACGGAAAAAACCTCCAACTCTGGACAGTGTTACAGTGAGAGGCTTAATCACAACTAATCAATACTCCAACAAATGGATGATTGTGGAAGAAGGAATGCTTCCAGTGGCTTGTCACTCGACCTGCTTTAACACTGATATGGAAATGAGGCATTGACTCTGACTGAATGAGACACTCCTGTTGTTTTCAAACACGGTTTCCCCTTCCAGTTTTCTCTTCTCACTGGGAATACTCAGGAATTAAACCACAGCAGAAAGAAAAACATTGAGCTAATCAGAAACGTTTAGAGGTTTGAGCAGCAGTAGCTCAGTCTGTAGGGACTTGGCTCAGCAACCGAAGGGTCATCGGTTCAAGTCCCGATAGGATAAGGTACAGAGGGTGGACTGGTAGCTGGATCACAGTCTGCAACGGGAAGCTATCAAACCCTCCAACAGAAAGTTATTAAACCCTCAAACAAGAGGCTAATAAACCCTCAACCAGGAAGTTATCAGCCCTCCAACAAGAAGATGTTAAACCGTCCTCAAGTCTTCCATAAGGAAGTTGTCTAACCCTCAAACAACAAGTTGTCAAACCCTTACACAATAAGCTATTAAACCCTCAAACAAGAAGCTATTAAACCCTCCTCCAACCCTCCATAAGAAAGTTGTCTAACCCTCCAACAGGAAGTTATTAAACCCTCCTTCAACCCTCAAACAGGAAGTTATTAGACCCTCTGACAGGAAGTTATTAAACCCTCCTCAAATCCTCCATAAGGAAGTTATTAAACCCTTAAACAAGAAGCTATTAAACCCTCCTCAAACTCTCCACCAGGAAGTTGTCTAACCCTCAAACAAGAAGCTATTAAACCCTGATCAAACTCTCCAACAAGAAGTTATCAAACATTCCTTAAGCCCTCCATCAGGAAGTTGTTAAACCTTACTTAGTGTTTGTGCCCGTCAAGAAACCCGCTGTGTATAATATTGTGTGTGTGTGTGCTGTGTTTGTTCTACCTATGGGAGTGTGTGTGTGCTGTGTTTGTTCTACCTATGGGAGTGTGTGTGTGTGCTGTGTTTGTTCTACCTGTGGGAGTGTGTGTGTGCTGTGTTTGTTCTACCTGTGGGAGTGTGTGTGTGTGTGTGCTGTGTTGGTTCTACCTGAAGGAGTGTGTGTGTGTGTGTGCTGTGTTGGTTCTACCTGTGGGAGTGTGTGTGTGTGTGCTGTGTTGGTTCTACCTGAAGGAGTGTGTGTGTGTGTGTGTGCTGTGTTGGTTCTACCTGAAGGAGTGTGTGTGTGTGCTGTGTGTGTTCTACCTGAAGGAGTGTGTGTGTGTGCTGTGTGTGTTCTACCTGTGGGAGTGTGTGTGTCCACCAGGCTTGACGGGCGTGTCTCCTGCGGTACAGGTGGGATATTGAGGTTGAAGCTGATGTTGGTCAGAGTGCCGGCGGCAGCACTCGCTCGTCTCGACTCAGCGAGCGCTCGGGCCTGAAGGGTCGGGTAGTTCTTCGGCGCCGGACCCGCGAAAGGTACCGAGTTCCTCTTCATGGATTTGGACATTGGAGCGGTGGCGATTGGGAAGGAATGAGATGTTGGCGAAGGGGTACAACGAAGAGTTTCTGCGTGGAAAACACTGATAACTGAAGATAAATCGGACGCAGGATTGGACAAAGTGGACAGGTTCGTATCAGACGTGGCTGTAGTTACTGATGGTGGCAAAGCAAGATGTCCGGCGGTTGCAACAAGCGTGCCTCCATTGTTGTTATGAGCCTCCACATCTCTACCCTCCACACACCGGATGCCCCTCATGCTACCATTCCCTAAATGGTAGTGGTGATGGTGGTGGTGGTGTAGGTGGTGCTGATTGGACGCCATGTGATGAACGGTAACCGATCCTTGCCTGGAGGGTTTTCTTCTACTTCTCTTGCTGCGTTGGGACTCTGTTTCTTGGGGCGAGGCGGCGATATTAACCCCGGCACGTCGAGCGAGGTGACGGATGATATGCGCCGTTTGTCTCGCTCCCTTTCGGATCATGTGCACCAGGTAGTTGAGCAGCTCCTCGTAGCAGGACCCCGGTTCCTGTAGAGAGCCGAGGGTGCTGGCGTTGGACAGGAAGCGAATTCGCTGCTCCTTCATCAGCTGACTCTCCCTCTGCTTGGTCTCGGAAAACTGAGTGGCGATGACCACGAGGCACAGGTTGATCATGAAGAACGAGCCGATCTGAGGACGGGGATATTAGTTAGTGCTAGTACTCTACACACTGTAACGAAGACATAGTTAGTGTCCTTTACACACTGTAACGAATACATAGTTAGTGTCCTCTACACACTGTAACGAAGACATAGTTAGTGTCCTCTACACACTGTAACGAAGACATAGTTAGTGTCCTCTACACACTGTAACAAAGACATAGTTAGTGTCCTCTACACACTGTAACGAAGACATAGTTAGTGTCCTCTACACACTGTAACAAAGACATAGTTAGTGTCCTCTACACACTGTAACAAAGACATAGTTAGTGTCCTCTACACACTGTAACGAAGACATAGTTAGTGTCCTCTACACACTGTAACGAAGACATAGTTAGTGTCCTCTACACACTGTAACAAAGACATAGTTAGTGTCCTCTACACACTGTAAACTTGTTCAATCATCAGCACACAAACAGCTGGAGGCACTTACGATGATGAGGAGGATGAAGTAGATGAAGTTGTAGAAGGAGTGAGCGTCCATCACAAAGTACATGATGTCCACCCAGCCCTCCAGAGTGATCACCTGAAGAGGAGGGGAATAAAGAAAACAGAAAACTATTTTTGGAATTGCTTTTATCAATTGGTATATTTTGTATTTTATTATATATTATTATATTTATTTTTACGTTATTTTTGTATTTATTACACTTTAATATTGTGAGCAACTTTTACTGTTTTATTGTGTAATTGATTGGATTATTATGCTTTTTTTTTGTGCCCATTCTTACTTTAAAGGTGGGGTAGGTAAGTTTGAGAAACCGGCTCGAGATACACTTTTTGTTATATTCCATGGAATGCTCTTAACATCCCGATAGCAATGAATATCTTAAATGCTTTGACAATAAATCCATAAAAAAATATCATCTGTGGAAGCCGTGGTACTGTAAAAAGCACGACCAATCATTTTAGCCGGCCCGGCTAAAATAACTGGATGGCCTACCTGCCTGTCAGCCTTCCATCTGGGCACAAACTTATCTCGTGCCCTCATTGGTCATGTGCGCGTTCGTGTGTGATGGAGGAGGGGCTCTGTAAGGAAGTGGCAGATTTTCTCCGGCTGTGTATTTTCAAATTCTAGCGATCTCGAGCCGGTTTCTCAAACTTACCTACCCTACCTTTAATGTCTTATGTTTATATAAATATTTGGGTTTTTTTCTTTTGAAAATGTAGTAACTGTAGCCAAAAGGAGATATATGTATCCTATTGTATTTCCTCTTGATTATTTTACTTGAACTTCTTATATTTACATACATATTTGTATTTTATTTTATCTTTTTATTGCACATTTGTACTTGAACTCCTTATGCATCATTACAAATCTCCCCTTTTCTCACAAACTGATTCCCTTGTTGTCCCCCCCTCTTCTCACCTGGAAGATGGCGATCCAAGCGTAGCAGATGTTGTCGAAGTTGATGGCTCCCTTGAAGGGGTTGATGGAGCCGGCGGAGCAGTTGGTGTAGTACTGGTTCCAGTTCACGCAGGTGGTGTTGTCCGTGCTGTTGTGGGACAGCATGTCCAGGTTGCACTGCAGCCCCCCCTCCTCGTACAGTTTGGGCACCGAGCCGCAGTCCCTCATGCCGTTCTCCCGCGGCATCGAGCAGATAAACGGGTTCTCGTCGTCGTTCTCCGTGTGGTAATATTTCTCCAGCTCCATAGTCACGGGGCTTCAGGGAAGAAGAAGAAGAGAGGATATTTCAGGGTGAAGCAAACTGATTTACACCGCCCTCCAGAGCAGGTTCATGTGTAGAGAGAAGTCGACACAATTCAGTTAAAATCATGGATCATTTTGAGGTAAATCTGTATTACGTAATGTTCTCTTTGCTTTCAAAAGTTACAATGTATATCCCATTTGAACACCATTAGAGGAAGTGTCTTGTACATTTCCCCCTAAAGTTAGACTATAAATAACTTGTATTAAAGAACATTTATCAATGTGGCCGCAAGTGGCAAATAATAGATAATGGCACATAGCAGCATATTCTCTATAAAAAATAATCTTTAAGTGAACTGAGCACAACAATGTTAAAATATGAAAAAGGCAAATAAAGAAAATGCTTTCTGTTGCGAGAAGTGTGTTAATGCTTTGATAAAACAAATATATAAAGTTTAATCTTACTAAGGAAGAGAAAAATCTTATTGGTATTGAATTAAACTTTGTGTTAATAAGAAGAAGAATATGTTATTTTTTGGAAGTAAATCTGTTCGATCATATTTTCATATTTTAAAGCCATTGAACTTACAGCACCGAGTAATCACATTGAAATGACGTATACCAATTTTCAACAACTCATTAATCATTTTCTTTTCCAATGTTCACAACTTCAAGAATCAAAACCTCACGTTTAAAAAATCACAATATTTGTTCCAGGAGCTCTAATGTGATTGGCCAAAATCAGTTGCAAAAATACGATGTATAAAGTTCAAATTAAACATCTGGCAACCGAAGGAAAAGCAATTGATTCTAGATCAAGTCAAACCAACATCAAAGTATCTTTGTAGTCCTTTAGTATCTCTTTGTAGTCATTTAGTATCTCTTTGTAGTCATTTAGTATCTCTTTGTAGTCATTTTGTATCTCTTGTAGTCATTTAGTATCTCTTTGTAGTTCATTTGTATCTCTTTGTAGTTCATTTGTATCTCTTTGTAGTCATTTAGTATCTCTTTGTAGTTCATTTGTATCTCTTTGTAGTCATTTAGTATCACTTTGTAGTTCATTTGTATCTCTTTGTAGTTCATTTGTATCACTTTGTAGTCATTTTGTGTCCCTTTGCAGTCCTGTTGTGGAATTGTTCACTGTCTTTATGTCTCATAAAACCTATTTGTCTTTATATTTATTTCGGTCTCTTTGTGTTTGTATTTAACTTTCTCTTTATTTCTACGCTGTAGGAATTAACTTCCTCACACCAGGAACACCTCACACTCTCTTATTTATGTTTATATCTTAAAATCTGTTTCACACCCAACACTTATTGGTTTGATGAGCTCAGTATGAAATGATTTCTCTCACCCCAAAATGACGCATGGGATGTTTCTCCTCACATCCATCAGTCTAATAAACTGTCAGCGCAGTAAACAGCTGCTGCTAAAGCACTAAAATATGATATTATTATCACAAGATAAACTGCAGCAGGCATTAAAACAAATATATGTATGACTCAGACGCCATCCGTCTAATGCATAAAGACCTTTCAGATACAAGAAGAAGACACAAGCTTCTCTGAGCAAAGCCATTATGCACATTATGAACTTTAAATTACAGCAGCGAGTCGTCATAAATCCTATAGAGAGAAATGCACATGAATAAGTCATGGGGGGGCTCATGTTTCAGGGGGTCTTTTCTCATTATTCCAGGGCTTGTCGCTCTTTCATTCATCATTATGAGACTCTATAACCTCACTGTGTGACCTACTTTAAGACAGGGTCAAGGTTTTATTTCAAGTTCTACCTTGAGCGTCGTGCACAGCTGTTTGCAATCACATATGGGTTTATTTCAGCTCTAATAGGACGATAATACACAAGTAAATCCAGCCAACGTTTGAAATGGATATGTAGGTTTTTCAAGGCCAATGCAGGCGTAAATACAGGCCCTTATTGTGCAAAGACACTGAGTTCTTGTTCTGTGTCTTTTTCAGTGAATCTTGCTTTGAGCACAACTACAAAGAGATGCAAGACAACTTCAAGGAGACTCACAAAGATGGTGAGAATGTGCCAAGAGAAGACTCAAAAAGAGAGATACAAGACAATGATAAAGAGACACTACATAACTACATAACTGCATAAAAGGAAAAAACAATGTCTAAGTGGTGTGCAATAACTATAAAAACACTCAAAATAACTACAAATACACAACAGAACAACCGTTTTAAGACTCACGCCTGCACCACTCTACAGCTATATAAATTTCCGCTTCGTAAAATGATAAAATACGGCGAAGATATAACAATGTAATGTCGGCCACATTCATTTGTTCATACGTTTGAGTCCGTGAAATGAAAAAAATGTTTGAATTAACTTTAAATCATCGTATCTACGGTTTTACTGGGTCAATTTGCATAAAACATAGACTGGCATAGAGTCCTAAGGGCAGAGAGGGCAAAAGTACACACATCCTTTACTCAAGTAGAAGTACTCGTGTTTACTCTGGTAAAAGTAGAAGTACTGACTAAACTTCTTTACTCAAGTAAAAGTAAAGAGGGCTTTGAAATGTACTTCAGTAAAAAGTACCCATAACTAGCAGCTGTTTTAAAGAGTACCTGACCTCCCTTTATATTAATAGAACAATAATGTCATTGTTAGCTAATGAATGTTTCCATGCTGAACAACGGCAACATGACAACGTTTTCATTGGTCCCTCTTCTTTAGAGAAGACCAGGAAATGATGGATACACGGATCGTGTTCAAATCAATAGGCACGCAATGACTCTAAAGAATAATGATCACGCCACCAAACACACATTCAAACTAAAGGAACCAGCCTGTTTGGGAAATGTGAGAAGTAGAAAGTACAGGTATTTGTGTTCAACATGTAAGAAGTAGAAAGTTCAGGTATTTGTGTTCAACATGTAAGAAGTAGAAAGTACAGGTATTTGTGTTCAACATGTAAGAAGTAGAAAGTACAGGTATTTGTGTTCAACATGTAAGAAGTAGAAAGTACAGGTATTTGTGTTCAACATGTAAGAAGTAGAAAGTACAGGTATTTGTGTTCAAAATGTAAGAAGTAGAAAGTACAGGTATTTGTGTTCAACATGTAAGAAGTAGAAAGTACAGGTCTTTGTGTTCAACATGTAAGAAGTAGAAAGTACAGGTATTTGTGTTCAACATGTAAGAAGTAGAAAGTACAGGTATTTGTGTTCAAAATGTAAGAAGTAGAAAGTACAGGTATTTGGATTCAAAATGTAAGAAGTAGAAAGTACAGGTATTTGTGTTCAACATGTAAGAAGTAGAAAGTACAGGTATTTGTGTTCAACATGTAAGAAGTAGAAAGTACAGGTATTTGTGTTCAACATGTAAGAAGTAGAAAGTACAGGTATTTGTGTTCAACATGTAAGAAGTAGAAAGTACAGGTATTTGTGTTCAAAATGTAAGAAGTAGAAAGTACAGGTATTTGTGTTCAAAATGTAAGAAGTCAAAGTAAAAAGTCGTCAGAAAAATAAGTAGTGGAGTAAAGTACTGATACCAGAAAAATATACTTAACAAAGTATTTGTACTCCACTACTTCCGTTGAGTTAGTACACGTTTGACTCACATGGAGAAGTTTCCCAGGAAGCAGCGGTTTCTGAGCAGGCCGGCCCACAGCTGCACGCCCACGATGCCGAAGATGAAGAAGACGAAGAAGCAGAGCAGCAGAACGTTCCCCAGCATGGGCAGCGTGTCCAGAAGCAGAGTCACCAGGATCCGCATACCTGAAGAGAAAGAAAGAGGGAGAGGGGGTCAAACAGACAGGAAATACATCCAGTACATGTGTGATTTTAGGCATATTTTACTGTATGAAATCTATAATATGAGTAAGGTAAGGTACGTTTATTTATAAAGCACATTTTCAGACACAGAGGCAATTCAAAGCTGATATGAGTGATTGCTATATTACTTAATTGATATGAGTACTGTACCTCCAAATTACACCCGTTAACACTACCTTGTAATTGGAGTGGTGTAAAAAGGTATTCAGATCTTTCTTTTAAAGTAAAAGTAGCAATACCACACAAAATACTCCTGCATTCAACCTACTAATAAAGTAAGTATAATCAGCTAAATGTACTTAAAGTATTAAAGGTAAAACATACCTAATGCAAATTAAACTATATTAAAAAGATATTCAAAAACCTCAAAATTATAAAAAAATTATTACAAAATTAAATAAATGTTTACAGACGTAAATATATTTTCTCTTAATCATTCAAAAAGCTACTAATTAGATTTAAAACAAATGTATAAACTGCCTAACCACTATATATTGTTGTAACATTATCATGCAAACTCTTGAGTCATTATATGTTATTGTATTATTTGAAGTGTCTCTTAATTTACAGCCAGGCCTCATTCGGGCCTATTATAACACATGTACTGCTCATAAGTGGCTATTTAATTAGAGAGAATAAAACACTTGCTGTCAGGACACTTTTTACAGTTCAATAAATATAAAATAATAAAGACACACGGTCGAATCAGTACGAATCACAGTGCAGTCGATTTATCCTCTCTGTGTTTCATATATTAGTTAAACAGCTTAATGAAGGACTGTCAACACAGACTCATTCACTGTTAGAAGATGAAGAGCAGTGCTGTTAGTGCCTGTAAACAATATGAGGTCTGGCTCTCCACAAACACAAGTGATTCACTTCATTCAAGTCAAGAGAAAGTTTTACCACCAGGAAGATGAACACACTGCTACCAATAAACAACAAACAAAGCTGATGGTATGTCACTCTTGGTCTAGTGGGATGAGTCCATTTCTGAGTGATATGCCAATGCTATTAGACTGACTAAACCTAGGCAAAAAATAAATGGTTTGGGTTAAGAAATGTTACTTTAGCTACTGAACTTGGTTGAACTTTGTGGCAAAAGATCATGGTTTGGGTTCAAATAAGCAGTGGACATGCGTTACGTTCAGTGTTGGGCAAGTTACTTTTAAAAAGTAACTAGTAATAGTTATAGTCACTGCTCTCAAAAAAGTAACTAGTTACTTTATTAGTTACTAAATTATAAAAGTAACTAGTAACAAGTTACTTTACTTTAAAAATAATAACAATACAAATACAAGTTTTTGTGTTGTTCTGTGGCACAGTAAGACGGTTGAGACGGTGGGGTCTTTGGCGACTAGTTTTATAGCCCCATGTACATTAGTTAGGTGCTTCAGGAGATTGGCATTGCTGTTATTCGATGTGGACAATGCTTTCTGTCCTGCACACAGTTTACATTTGACCGTAATATTTTTTGCGTCCTTTATCCCCACAAATTGAAAATAGTGGTTATATCTCCAAGTTGTAAATGCGCTGCTGCTCTCGCTGATACTTGCATCTGCAATTGTGTGTGTGTGTGTGTGCTGGTGGTGGGCGTTGCCGTGTATGTGTGTGTGTTAGCAAGTGTTTGTGTGTCTGTGTATTTTCCCCATAAGGCAAGACCCGCCCAACTCTGTCTCTGATTGGCTTACCCTGAAATGTTACCCCGCGTTAACCAATCATCACTCCTCTCTGGTCACTTTCACTTTTCCATGGTACTGTGAGAGGACATCACTGTATTCGCCTGTAAGTTACATCCGCAGGGAGATTCGGTTCAGTTGGATCACATAATGTAACGCAGTAACGCACCCATTTAAATCACAGTAACTATAACGGCGTTACTGAATGGGAATAGGTAACTAGTAACGTTATTAGTTACCGCAAAAGGTAGTTGCGTTACAGTAACGCGTTAGTTTGTAACGCGTTAGTCCCAACACTGGTTACGTTACAACTTGACATAGACATGAATGGTTTAGTACTAACTTTGTATTGTATCTACTTATTAAAATGCATGTTATCTGTTGGTTTCATATACGTCACAGTGGTATCCTGGGTAAAAAGTCCTATGTTTGTTCAACCCATCCATCAACACGATCCTGAAAAAGACTCTATGGCTCTTTTAAAAACTACACCTTACTTCCTCAATTGCCGCCGGCATAAAAGTAAATATGGGTTGTTATTAGCTCCTTGACAGTAAAAGCCAATGCTTGTTGTTGGGCATATGGCTCTCATTGCTGCTTTAATATAAAACCAGGAAAGTATGGATTTCTTTATATCAATGACAATGCAACACCTTGCAGTGTAACAAAAGCCAACAGTGCTGATTCCTGCAAGAAAGCATTCACAGCAGTGTCAGATGTTGGTGTGGAAGTGTGCATCTGTGTAAATATTAAGCAGGCCGTTGTAGAAAACAGAAAGTGTGCTCGGCAGCATCCTTCCTCGGATGAATTAAGGTTAAAAATACATTTTGTTCTGAGTCAAACGGAAGTGCAGAGATTTGTAACAGACCGAGTGTCAGCGGTACACCTCCAGTTTGTTCTGAATTAACGCCACACTAACAGAGCTGCTTTTCATACAGAACATCCCCGACTCTGTCTGGACAGTGTTCCCTCAAGTTTCTGACAACACAGACACACACACACACACACACACACACACACACACACACACACACACACACACACACACACACACACACACACACACACACACACACACACACACACACACAACACACCACACACACACACACACACACACACACACACACACACACACACAGAGACACACAGAGACACATAGAGACACACACACAGAGACACACACACACACACTTCCTGCCGCCCACACACTCCCTCTGCTAAATCTGGCCGTCCCTCTGCTGCTGCAGCTCACATTTTGCTCTTATGTTCAGGCACTTGTTTCTTTCTATCTATCCATCCATCCAACCCCACATCTATCAATTTGACAGAGTTGGGTGGTATGTTACTCCATCCATCTAACAGTCTGTCCATCCATCCTCACATCCATCCATCCTTCGTTGGTCCATCTTTCCATCCGTTTATTTAATTATCCATCCACCTGTTCGTCCGTATACCCATACGTCCGTTTGTTATTTCTTCTGTCCGTCTGTCCATCCATCCTCCGTCGATCCATGTTTTCATCCATTTATTTAATGATCCATCAGTCCACTAGTCCGTCCGTCCATCCATCCGTCCATCCGTCCATCCATTCATCCATCCATCCATCCATCCATCCATCCGTCCATCCATCCATCCGTCCATCCATCCATCCATCCATCCATCCATCCATCCATCCGTCCATCCATCCATCCGTCCATCCATCCATCCCTGCACTCTCCAATCCATTTGTCTGTCCAAAAATCCATTGGAAGGTTATATGGATGGACGAATGAATGTCTCTCTATGTATCCATCCATCCAATTAAACGGTAAGATAAATTAATGGATGTTTGTCGGTCTTTCCTTAATTCTTCCATCCATCCAAACCCATTGAACGTCCGTCCGTCCATTTTTCCATCAATCATTTGGAGTTAGATTAATGGATTTCTCTACATCAGCCCTTCTGATCGTCCTTTGACAGTCCGTCCATTTTTTCCTTGAACGGTCAGATGGATGTCTCTAAATAAATCTATCCAAACATACAGTATGAGCCAGACCTCATTAGAACAACTCAAACACGCTAATGTTAGCATGCTAATCCGTGTTCCTCTAAATGAAATATTTACCCGACATGTTGTAAAAACTAAATCCCATTCCGAACTAAACTGAGCCATCTGGGAGCGGCTCACCAAACTGCAGGAGAAACTTTTCATATTTGTAGAAGGATCCTAAAAAATGTATGTGGGTACACACTGAGACAGGGACGTTTGGTGTTGACAGATGGTTGGAAAACAAGGAGGATTTTGGAAAAGAAAAGGAGAACAAATGAGGGGAAGACAGCCAGGGGAGGCAGGGAGGGGAGGGGTAAAGGTAAGGAGTGACAGTGGGGGGATTACATGCATTGGTTGTGTAATGTGAAACCCAGCTGTGGAGAAAGAGACGCCAAAGAAAAGTGAATAAATGAAAACCAAAACTCTTGAAAAAAACTGTTTTTAAGACGTTACAATTGAATAATAGCTGCCACATTATACACTGTAGGCACTATTTAATTAGCAATGTATACAATCACAGTGTGAGATGAGAATCAAACAGAAAATGTGCCTCATAATCTCATCAACCATCCATTCATCAACCATCCATCCATCCTTCCATTAAACAACCAACCAACCAACCGTCTATCTATCCATCCATCCTTCCATCCATCAACCAACAAGCCAACCAACCATCCATACATCAACTTTCCATGCATGCATGCATCCATCCATCCATTCATCCATCCATTCATCCATCCATCCATCCATCCATCCATCCTTGCATCCTTCCATCAAACAACCATCCATCCATCCGTCCATCCATCAACCCTATCCATCCATCCATCTTTCCGTCCAACCAACCATACATCCATTCATTCATCCATCCATCAGAATTGATTTTAAACTCCTTTTATTTGTTTTTAAAGCACTAAATGGGCTGGCTCCGGCCTATATAGCTGAACTCCTCCAGCGCTACACCCCAGCCAGAGCTTTAAGGTCTGCTGACCAGCTGCTGCTGGTAGTGCCCAAGACCAGGCTCAAAACCCGAGGGCACCGAGCCTTCGCAGCAGCTGGCCCCAGGCTCTGGAACACTCTGCCCCTCCATGTGAGGTCGACCCAGACCCTAGGGGTTTTTAAATCTAAACTAAAAACACACTTCTTCTCTCTGGCTTTCTAGTTAGAGCGGAGCACGACTCCTGACTTTTCCGTGTGTTTTATTTTTATTTTGTTTTTAAGATATATCTGTTGTA